GCTTCTTCCCTGCTTTCTGGGAAATGCATGTCTGATTGTTCTTCATGTGCTCCAGGTAGAGTTTAGCATTTCATTAATGCTAAACAATTCACATACAAATAGATAGTTTAACCTTAGATATTTCCCCAAGGCTCAAAGAGGTTGATGCAAATATAAACAGAATTGGAAGAGCTGGTAAAGTATTCAGCTGAAACTTTAAAGAATACTTTTCTCTCTGGGACTTCCTGGTGATGGTTGTAATACAGCTCAAATGCTTTAGCTCTTTGTATACTTTTATCCTCCTTCCTTGATGCAGGTTTTCTGACATCCCTGGCTGGCTGAATTACACACAGAGCAGACTATGCTGGCCCACTGGGTTACATCAATCGCTTCTTAGATCACTTTTCCAATTCTATTATTCTGTGACTGCTGAGTAGTATGCTGTTATTTTCCATTAGAACCTCACACAGATAATAAAAAAGAATATCTCACTTTGAAAGAATTAAGATAACAATTAAAGGGGGAAAATAATCTTTAAGGGAAAAGAAAAAGATATAGGATAAAAGTATGAAATTTGTAATGCATCAAGCCTAAAAGGATTTTGTGTCAAAAGTGATGATTCACTTATTATCCCCGTATGTACCAAGCATCTCCTAAGTGCCAAGTACTGTATGTTTGCATGATGGCGATGATGCTGCTGATGACGGTGATGATGATGATAGCAGCTAATATTTGCTGAGGACTTATGACCACATGAATGAGCTAGTAGAAATTTAGATCTAGCCAGGAAGGCAGATTTAGCAAATAATTCCAATGTTATCAGTGCTATGTGAAACTGAAGGTGCAACAGATGAGTGTTTCAGGGGACCTGACCCAAGCTTAGGGTCAATGAATGCTTCCTTGAGGAAATGGCAAGTAAGAGTTAACGAGATAAAGGAGAAGTAGCAATAGGGAAATAGATCACCCCCAGACAGAGCCAAGTTTGTGTAAACAGCTCTGATCAAGCAAGATGTATATGTTGGAAGAACTGAGAAAATTGACAAAAGTACGGAGGGTAAGGGGTAAGAATAGGGAAATGAAATTAGAAAAAAGGCAGGAATAGAATCATGCCAAACCTTAGAGTCCAGGGTAAAGTCTGGCCTTTATCCCAAGGGTGGATAGGGAGCCATGGATGATGATCAGATCATCTTTGAGTTCTAAGATGACTGAGGAAGTTGGAGAGAAATAAAGGGAACATGTGGAGGGTGGAGATTATGATGACTCAGACCATTGAAGTTGTAGGTAAAACATCTCCACGTAAGAGTGAGGCTCCCATCCAGCTAACAGAATGCATCATCTCCTACACATTCATGCTTTAGGGAACTTTCCACTCTCCAAACCTCAAAACCACTGCCTCCACAGAGTCACATGAGGCCAATGTGAAAGTTGATGAGCAAATAGCAGCCAAAAGTTATGGAAAAGATAAAATACAAAGAGCCAGTCCTGAACCGAAATTCTGAGCCTGGGTCTCCTGGGTCCTACCTCCTTCCTAGTTCCTGGAAAAGAAAGGATACCCTTTCTTTTCAGCAGAGCAAATAAATCCCAGAAAGGCGGAGTTTGCCTAGAAACTGTTCATTGGCCATAAAAGTATTGCCACAGGATAAGGTGAGGAAATAGACTCCAGGAAGAGAGTCTTTTCATATACAAGACAAAAGCATGTTATTTAATGATCCTATGTTCCTTGACCTTAAATAAAAGGCTTAATGGCAATGCTTAAGTGGTAGGCCAAGCTGTCAGCACTTTTTGTACTAAATGAATGAAAAAGCCATCATCTCCCTGTGTTCAAAGAATATCTATGAATTAATCCATTATCAAGCATTCCATTGATGGATTACTTGATGGAAGCCATTGGGAATACCATGGTGAGTTAAACTAGACAGGATTCTTGTTTATAGAGTTCCAGCCCAGTGAAGAAGTTAAGAATCTAGGCATTAATGAAATGTTAACACAACTACACTCATGTATGTACAACTACATCTTTATGTATAATATGAAGACTTGTTAATCTCTATGAAAATGTGGTCACTAGCTACCCAAACCTCAGTGTCTTAATCTGTAAAATAAGAAAATAACATCTATTCCATGATTATTGTGAGGATTATAAAGGTTTGAAACCCTTAACTCTGGCACATAACTAGCAGATTTTGCAAAGATCAGACCCAGGGAGTGAGTATGACATATGTCAGAAGCAGTGTTTTACAGGGGTCAAAGCTGAATTCTTCCATCAGACTGTCCGGGTTCAAATCCCAGGTGCTGCTTTTACTAGCTCTGTGACCTTGGACAAATGTCAAACTTTCTAATGTTCAGTTTCTTCATCTGTGAGAGGAATATAGTGAAAATACCTAGGTCACAGGTTTCTCAGGTGGATCAGAAGAAATGATTCATGGAAATGTAAACGTTTGCTTAAATAAACAGCTAGAGTACATAGTTTGTAAGTACATAGTTTGCTGTATTGATATAGATAAATAAGCAATTAATCACTTTTATTGTTATCACTTTGGGTAGTAGGGTGAAACTATATAAGACCAAAGACTTCGCACAGAAGATCTTGATGTAGGCCTTAAAAAAAAATGAATAGGTGTTGTACAGAGAAAATGCTGATGAATTTTCTTTTCTCCATCCATAGGACAGCAATTTGCTATTGTGAGAATTGCCAAGGGGTTGAAGTCTCAAGGAGAATATTAAGAAAAGGCTGATGAGTTCCCAATAATAATCATCATCACTCCAGTTACTGCTATGAATTGGAAGACAGGATGATGGGGTGGATAACAACCAGAGCTTTGAAATCAGACAGATTCTGGTTCTGATCCAATCCCTACTACTTCCAGCTGCATGATCTTACACCAATTACTTCATTTCTCTGAGTTGCGGTATACTGCTCTTCAAAAGAAAGTGGTAATAGTGTCCTCCTGTGAAGCCATCATGAGGATTAAACAAGATAATGCACATGAAATGCTGAGTACCATGTTTGGCACATGATAAGTACTCAGTAAATGTTAACTGTTGTTATTGTTTATGCCTCATTAAGGTTGCACTGACATAAAATGTTAGAATTTGTATGAAGTAATTACATTAAACAAAGGGCATAATACCATATTACCTACTCCACAGTGGGGTATCCAAAGAAATATCATGAATAACCAGGGGATCCGTTCCTATATGGCAGTGACTGCAGGAAGTTTTTTCTACTTATAAACATTATATATGTTTCTGAAGACAACCCATAACTTTAAAATAAATTTATTATTATTTCATCACCAGTCATACAGCCATTGCTAATATCTTTATATATTTTCTTCCAAGGTGTGTGTGTGTGTGTGTGTGTGTCTGTTCATATGTGATACTTATGGGAATTATGGTATTTAAATAAATATGCACATATTAAATTTTGGTCATGATATAAAAACTTTTTCCATTTTTTCATAGGAGAAGCTACCAGAGTTTATAAGCATGTTTTACAAATTTGTTTTATAGATTTCATGACATCTTATAAGAACATGCTTTATAGTTTATTTAATTATGGTCATATTGCCTTTAGTGTGTGTCAGAATTACTTCAAATTTGATTATAAGGTATTTGTTACCATATCCAGTGAGTTCTCTATCTTTTTCATTGGGGGTTGTAAACAATTTGAAAGCCTAATTAATTTTTAAAGAGTGCTGTATTTTCTCCTTCCATAGGAAAAAATTACAAATATGTATTTACATAAACTATTGCCTAAAATTTCAGATTTTTGAAGTTCATGAAACCCATCTATGGACCCATGGTCCCCACAACTTATAGTCAGAACCAGTGGTATAAAATACATCAATATGAAACAGAATAAAAAAGTTCAAAAACTTTACTGTAACATTGGTGGAGAAGTGTAGCCCTAAAACTTCAGGTTATTGGGCTGGGATTGTGGCTTAGTGGTAGAGTGCTTGCCTAACATATGTGAGGCACTGGGTTCAATTCTCAGCACCACATATAAATAAACAAAATAAAAGGTCCATCAACAACTTAAAAAAAAAAACTTCAGGATATTTCATCACTTTCATAATATGGCCCAATTTCAGTTTGTTCTTAAATTTGAAATTGTCCAAGTTTTGGATCCCATATTAAGGCTTCTCCCAGATTTCACTGAGTAACATTTCATGTGATGTATCTTTTCTATCCTTAGTGACGGAAAGGTCTCAGCAGGACTCCCAGTGCACTGCCCATCCTCACCATGCAGTCTTGCATCCTGGAGAACTATGACATTACTGAGTCTACTCCTGCTACCCCTCACCTCCACTGATCTCAACTTTCTTACACACTATTCCTTCCGAGGAAATATACAGCATGACTCAGCATTGGATAATACAGTTTCATAAAGGAACAAGAGCATTTCATAATAATACCAAAAATAAAATCAACACACCTAACATGTAATATAACTGATACTTAAGAAAGTAATAAGAATTATAGTGCATTCTGCTATTATATGTAAATAAAAAATAAATTAAAATTAAAAAAATAAAATAAAAACTAAAAAGAGAGGGATATATTCACAATGTTGAGTCAGGTATATTTTAATCTGAGGATGCAAGGTTTTTAATTAGGCCTCTGTGTAGGTCTAACTAAAGGGATCATAATCTTCGATTTATTATCTTAATTACGTATTTCAAAGTACAATTTAGAATATGAAGCTGATTCTACATGCCAAGTTGTACAGCTTTTAAAGCATTATCATAGTTTGTCAATATAAAGAAAAAAATTGTTGTGTAGTTTGGATTTCTTGTTCCCATCTGTTTGCTTCTGAAGATAGAACAATTTCTGATGTGAAAACTGGGATATGGAAGAGAATGTACCTGTATCTGCACATCTTTATTATATGTTTGTGCCTTTGTGTGTTTTAAAAGTCCTAAAAATTATCCCTGGGTTCCAAATAATAATGAAAAAGGAAAAATTTGGAAACAATTCTAATAGTAACTTATATTAAAACCATTTCTTTTCTCCTTCAGCTGCACCATCCGTCCCAAGGCTTCCGGTTTGGAACTGTCCGGGAGAGCAGTGCTGAAGATTATGTGAGGCAAAGCTTCCCAGAGATGCATGAGTATATGAGGAGGTACAATGTTCCAGCCACCCCTGATGGAGTGCAGTACCTCAAGTGAGTGTCAACCTCTTGGATCCTAAAAGTTCTCACTGAAAGAGATGTCATTTTGCTACTGGTGTGATTTATTGTTGTTGTTGTTTTAATGACAAGTATTTCCACTGTGTTCAGTAATATCACACTGTGTGGGACCCAGAAGGTAGTATGGCAGTATGGAATATGTGCATTTAATTATGTGGCCTCTATTACTAGTTACCTGCATAGTCTCAAGTTGGCAGTAGCTTTGCTCCAAGAGCCAGTGGAGTCATTAGTGCAGCAGATGGTGGGGGAAATAAAAGCTGGCTTGGCATCACTTGAGAAAACAATGGTGCTGAAATGAACAAACACACAGGGAATATGGCCAGGGGATAAAGTGTCCCAAAGCAACCCTTTCCTTCACAGTGAATCTCTAAGCCCATGGAATGCCTACTCTTGCCATGAGGAAATGGAATTTATCTTAGGGATTTCCTGTAGAAAAGAGAAAAGATAGAAGGCAGTGCTTCCCATGTCTGCATCCTTCTCATCAGAATTTATGAAAAGCAATCAAAGGCAATCACATTGCCATGGCAGATCATCAGAGCCTGTGATTCAGTGAACTGAATGCAGAGGAGGACCATGCAGTTATGGGTCTGCTTGTCTAGTCTGCCTGGGAAAGTGAATGCATGGATCCCAATAAGCACCACTGCCTGAGGGTGAGCAGTTCTCTCCCTCCCACTTGGCACCAGGGCAATAACAGGCATCCAGCCCTCCAATCCTTATAATTGTGCAGCATTGGGAAGCTGGTTTCTTTATGGTCAGCTACAATGATCTCCCCAATGGACAACAGGGCCTGCCACCTCAAGTTCTTAAAAGAGAGGAAATAAAAGATTTTATGGAACATAAGGGCTTTGTGTTTCTTAAGAGTTCTAATAATAGGCCCCTTAAACAATCTTATGGACTTTTAATGAGAGCTTGGAGAGGAAGCCACACACTCTTAGATTTGCAAAGTATATATGATGCTTAAGTACTATGAAATGGCACTTTTAATTTTGCAAAAACATCAAAACATTAGAGTCCCTCTCTGGCACAGAGTTTAGAGCTCCATTGCCTCCCAGATCCTCTTCTGTATGTATTCTTTCCTTCAGGCAAATACACAGCGGAGAGAGAGAATGAGATGTCAGGGAAATAGCATTAGGCTCCCAGCTAGATAATGGCTGACAAACTGAGTTCTGCTGGCAGTGTGACAAACATGAGATGAACCACTGCTGGGGTTCCCAGCATTTCCTCTTCACTCCATGCATTCATTTATTCCAGTGACTTGACGTGAGAAGGTTCCCATACCCAGCATTGGCCCCACCTTAGCCTGGAGAGAAGCAATCATTAGAAAAGTAGTCACAGATGAAGAAGGCCTGAAAGAAGTAAGCTTTCCATGGTAATGCAGCTAACAAGTGGCAGAATCAGGACTAGAGCCAGTTCTTTGTAATCCAATCGCTACTTCAAGCTGGTTTGGAAATCATAATGAAAGGTCCTTGATGATCAAAGAATAGTCCATGTTACAGAAACATCTGTGTTCCAGTTAGTATCTGGGAACTAGTTAGACATGCAAGATGCCAGGCTCCATCCCAAACCAACTGCATCCAAATCTGCATTGCAACAAGTTCCCCAGATGAGTCACTGATTGATGTGGAAGAGAAATATAGGCAGAGCTTATCATTAATACCACTTCACTGCTCTCTCATCCTTCTTTCTCTACTTTTGACCTAGTCACTACTGATGCTCTTAGACATTACTCAAAGCAATTGCAATCTTCATGTTATCCTGCCCCTCTAGCATCCCAAAGCTCTTACTTACAGGGAACAACACCCAAAGTCACTGTACTTGAAAGTCACCTGTGTCCTTTGCCTCTCCCATCAAAATTCTCCCAGCCTTATACCAACTCTCTCAGGGGCCTGCTCCCTAAGGTGACAATTTAACAATAAATTAATCCTATTAAAATGTACACTTCTTTCAGTATATTAATATATGACTTTGTAGTATGTAATATGTATTTTTAAATAAATGCTCAAAAAAAAGAGCATGATTCTATAATGGGAGAATCAACTGGAGGCCCTATCAACTACAATGGTGACTCAGTACAGAAGCTATAATACCTGAATCACACTTGGCCACTTCTTCACCAGTGACTCATGGTCTCAGGGGAGTCTGTGTGAGATGATTGCTTCTAGTTCCTATGCAATAGAAATCTGATATAACCAACTGCACTTTTTTCATTCCAAAATTAAGAATAGTTGTATAAGTATATGGATGGAACTGAGAGGTGATTTCATTTTGGTTAAAGCCAAACATGAACCTTGTTAAAACTTAAATTCAATACCTCTGGAAAAGAGGATACTTTTAAAAAAAAATTTTTTTTCACTTACTGGAAGAGAATGAAAAGTAAGCAATGGTAATTGGCACCAAAAAGAAAAGTTAAACTACTTACTATGTGTCCATGTGTGGTCCAAACAAATCCATCCATGTGAAGATATGTTTTCTGCCAAGTGATGAACTTTATACCTGTCTAGGGACATCTTTCTCTTTTAAAGTTTTGATGAGCCCTAGCCTTGCTCTTCTCTGAGTTTAGAAACCACTTCTCTGTGTTGAATTTGAACAGCCTTATTCCTTGTTCTAAGATACCATACTGAGGCCAAATGGAATAGAGAAGAGTTATTTTCTTTGCAAAGCTGTCTAGATAACCCTGAGTGTAGATAGCCTTTCTTCAATATATGTATGTCATACTGGCTGAAGACAAAAATAAAAGTGACCTAAACAGCTCGCTTTCAAACTTCTCCACCCTTGCCCTTTTTGTAAGTAGGAGCTAGGCCTATGCTGAGACATAGCCTTCCCCAAAACCTCTTCTGCATTAATGTTCAGAAAAATGGGAAGACTAGCCGGGCATGCACCTATAATCCCAGTGACTCAGGAGTCTGAGGCAGGAGAATCACAATTTCAGAGCCAGCCTCAACAATTCAACAAGGCCATAAGCTATTTAGCCAGACCCTATCTCAAAATAAAAAGGTTACTGGAGATGTAGCTCAGTGATTAAGCTCCCTGAGTTCAATCCCCAGTATGAAAAAAAAAGAAGAAGAAGACTTTCATAAAGGATGCCCAAGTGCCCCAAGACTTCTGATAACAATTTGAGCCCATTGCCAATTCACTAATACAGCCCAGGGACAACTACTCTAAATTATCATTGCCAGAACCACCTACTGGGATGTAACATGAATTTCTGTAGGTATGTTAACAAATTGGACCACTAAGATCTATTACATCAGCTTCCCCTTCCATTTATTGAATACTAGCCCATGGACTTAGACTATTCTAACTTCCTTTTCTCAAGAATACTAGATCTCTTCTAAATATTTCCTTAATAACTACTCATAAATATGAAATAATACTTGATCTCTGAATAATATGACATTGATCTTCAGGAAAAAAGATTAAACTTTCAACATGTGATTAATGAGACCAACTGGCTGCAACTCTACCAGCTATGTCCCCTGGATCAAGTTCCTTCGACTCTCTGAGCCTCAATTTCCTCATTGATTATGTCACAGCCTTTATGAGTGATAAACTGTATGGAAGACAATGAATACAATACCTAACACGAGTTTCTCTGATAACCCTGTATACTTTCCTATTCAATTCAGTCACCGTGGCTTTGTTGTTGGGTTTAGAAGTCATGAAAGAGACTGGTAGATAAACACAGAGGTTTATCATGTTTTCTTGTAAGAATATCTGTTTCCCCTGATCTGTACTCTCTAGGTCAGTGAGATCAACAAATCTGTCAGAAGCAAGCAAGCTTGTGCTGCCCTTAGTGTTCAGGTGTCTGTCCCCTAAACAGAAGCCAACTGTCAGGCTTAATGCTTCCTGCTCATTAATAAATCATGTTCACTTTTTCTCTCTTGGTCTTAAATATAGGAATGATCCAGAGAAACTAGACGCCTTCATCATGGACAAAGCCCTTCTGGATTATGAAGTGTCAATAGATGCTGACTGTAAACTTCTAACCGTGGGGAAGCCGTTTGCCATAGAAGGTATTAATCAGTCACTCTTGATTTGCTTTTACTCAGGATGTGCTCAGTTTGCTAACCTAGCAAGTCACAAATGCCAAAGTCGGAGGCAAGGAGCTATTCATCTTCCCTTGTTTTCATTTTCAACTCATAAGCACTTAGCTATTAAGTTGCTGAAGTTAGAAATTATTTCTCTCCAACTCAACAAATATTTATTTATGCAATTGTTAGTGAAAAAAATAATTGTTTCTCTAATGTGTTGGTTCAGATATCTGGGAGTGGTGGCAAAATGAGGGAGTCCAGTTTTAATTTGATCTGTCTTTTTTATTTGTTTGAATTTTGTTGTTCTCTGTTTTATTGTTGTTAGTGTTGTTGTTTTTTGATGCTTGATATGGAACCCAGGGCCTTGCACAGAGTAGGCAAGCATTCTACCACTGAGCTACACCATTAGCCCCTTATCTTTATTTTTGAATGGCGAAACACTGTAATAAATCTGATACAAAAATGAGACTAAGCTGGGTGTGGTGGTCATGCCTGAAATCCCAGTGGCTTGGGAGGCTGAGACAGAAGGATTGCAAGTTTGCGGCTAGCCTCAGCTACTTAGCAAAGCCCTAAGTAATCTAATAAGTCTCAAAATAAAAATTTGGGGAGGGCCTGGGGATATAGCTCAGTAGTAAAGTGCCCCTGGGTTAAATCCCCAATACCAAAAATAAAAAAAAATAAAAAGAAAGAGAGAATGATTATATTTTACAACAGAGCCCCAACATTGATCTAATCCAATCTATCTATTTTAGACATAAGAAAATCCAAGGATATTGTATCATATTTTCATAATTATATAATTAGATGATAATGTGGGATTAAAATCCAAATCTCAGTTTCCAATATAAGTGTTTTTCACTAGTTGGAAAGTAAGTGGAGGGGGGACTCATTTTAAAGTTTACTACCCTTTAAGATACTAAACAAAAACCTTGTTTGGGACCCCAGGTTTGCCTTTTCTCCCCACTGGCAGCAATTTTTGCTTCCAACTAGATCAACCAATCAATCAAACTTCAGAACCAAAGAAGGACTGCTTTGTCAGTAGCTTCTTTCATTCTGAGTGACAGTTGATATATGGAGCTGATATTTGAACCAGCAAATTTCACATCTCCCAATTCCCAGCTTTCCCTCCCTGACAGTGCGTGCTAGCTCTCAAGACAGCCGTGCTCACTTGTCAGAAAACACTTTGGCTTGAAACAATCCCAAGGGGGTGCACAAGTCCTATTTCCAGAAATTTGTGCTTTGCTGTATGTTAACTAGGGTATCAAGACTATTTGATTCCAATTTCCCAATCATATTTGGTCTCTGTCTCTCCTAAACGCATCAGCAGATATTTTTGCTTCAGTCTGTTTTTTGTGATGAATGAGAATATAACAGCTGATGCTATTTCTTTAGACCTGTCCAAGGAGAAACCAGTCTTCAGTCTAGACAAAATGACCCCCACCTGGGTCAGGGATGGACTTCAGGAAGAGAGTGGGATTGGTCTTTTATTAAGACTGCAGTCTTGGATAGCAAAACCATAAAGAGAGAAAGAGAGAGAAAAAGCAAACACTAGAAAACCAAAAGAACATTCAGTATATGCTCAGTAAACCCCATTTTAATGTAACAATGGAAAATTTCCTTTTTTTTGTGCATGTGGCAGTAAGGGATATGGAAAGTATACTACATTTTATTTACATCCTAAATGTGTGGGGTAATGGAAGTCCTTCCTACCATAGGGCTACTAATAATAAATAAAGATGTTGTGTCCACTGAAAAATAAATATTAAAAAATCTCTCTCTCTTCTCTCTCTCTCTCTCTTTTTTTAAAAAAAAAGAATCCATGAGAGGGATGACAGTGGTTTGATACACAATGACAGAGAAGAAGGAGGTAGATTTGGACAGATTTCTGCATATACTACAAAGGATTTGACAATGTAACAATTATGTGGTATAAGACAGAGAGGCGAAAGTTGCTGGCCTGAGAAAATGAAGAAGGATGTTGCTATTTACTGTGATAAAGAAAAGTGTGAGGGGTAAAGTTTGAATATTAAAAAAAAAAAACATAAAAACAACAGCTTTGTTTTGTACATATTAACCATCCTGGTAAGCATGTATTATGGTACTACAAGACAAGAAAAGGAAGGTGTGTGGATAGAGAAGAGATCTCAGGTCAAAAATTGGGAAAAAAAATTAGTTAAGATTTCATTTAAACTACCTGTAACTGAGAAGAAATATAAGATATAAATATAAAAATAACCGATGAATAAAATATCACCTGTAATTAGATGTGCTTAAGTTTAAAAACATATAAATGAAAATTATATTACATTTTATAATTGATTCCAATGTAAATAAATAAATAATATAAATAAATATTAAAAAGTAAAATGGTATATTAAATGCACTTTCCAACTAAAGAGAACATTGTAAAAATATTTATACTCATAGAGGGTTGCTCATAGTTGAAACTGGTAATTGATTGTTATTAATGCCATTAAAGAAATAAAGTCAGTAATATTTATTATAAAGACAGTTTAATATTATATATTTCGTTCATTTGAAGTGACAACAATATGACTCTCCTGAGATAACAGCTTAAGATTTTGCTTTTCCAATCCTTCGCAGGAAGTGAAGCAGGTGGCATCGCTATACCAGACATTAAACTATACTACAGAGCAATAGTAACAAAACAGCATGGTGTTGGCACCAAACAGACTGGGAGACCAATGGCACAAAATAGATGACACAGAGACTAACCCACAAAATTTAAATTATCTTATATTAGATAAAGGTGCCAAAAACATGCACTGGAGAAAAGATAGCATCTTCAACAAATGGTGCTAGGAAAACTGGAAATTGTATGCAACAAAATGAAATTAAACCCCTATCTCTCACCTCACAATACTTATCTTAAAATGGATCAAGGACTTGGAATTAAACCAGAGACTCTGCATCTAATAGAAGAAAAAGTAGGTCCTAATCTTCATCATGTGGGGACTAGGCCTCAACTTCCTTAATAAGACTCCTATAGCGCAAGAATTAAAACCAAGAATCAGTAATTGGGATGGAATCAAACTAAAAAGTTTCTTCTCAGGAAAAGAAACAATCTATGAGGTTTGCTCCTGGGAGCAAATTTTTACCCCTCACACATCAGATAGAGCACTCATCTCTAGGACATATGAAGAACTCAAAAAGCTAAGCACTAAACTAATCATCATCATTATCATCATCATCCAATCAACAAATAGGTCAAGGACCTGAACAGACACTTCTCAGAAGAGGATATATAATCAATCAACAAATATATGAAAAAATGCTCATCATCTCTAGCAATCAGAGAATGCCAATCAAAACTACTCTAATATCATCTCACTCCAGTCAGAATGGCAGGTATTATGAAGACAAACAACAATAAGTGTTGGAGAGGATGTGGGGAAAAAGGCACATTCATACATTGCTGGTGGGACTGCAAATTGTTGCAGCCAATATGGAAAGCAGTATGGAGATTCCTTGGAAATCTGGGAATGGAACCACCATTTGACCCAGCTATCCCTCTCCTCAGAATATACCCAAAGGACTTAAAATCAGCATACTACAGGGACACAGCCACATCAATGTTTATAGCAGCACAATTCACAATAGCTAAACTATGGAGCCAACCTAGATGCCCCTCAGTGGATGAATGGATTTTTTAAAATGTGGCATATATACACAATGGAATTTTACTCAGAATTAAAAGAGAATAAAATCATAGCATTTGCAGGTAAATGGATGGCGCTAGAAAAGATAATGCTAAGTGAAGTTAGCCAATCCCCAGAAAACAAATGCTGAATGTTTTCTCTGATATAATGAGGCTGACTCATAGTGGGGTAGCAGGGGGAACATGGGATAATTAGATGAACTCTAGATAGGGAAGAGGGGTGGGAGGGAAAGGGAGGAGGCAGGGGATTAGCAAGGTCAATGGAATGTGAGGGGCATCATTATCCAAAGTACATGTATGAAGACTCAAATTAGGTGGCAACATACTTTATATGTAAACAGAGATATGAAAAATTATAGTATAATTGTGGTATAAATTGTGATATGAAAAATTGTGTGTAATAAGAATTGTAATACAAAAAAGTACATGTATAAAGGCATGAATTGGCATGAACATAACTCTATATACAAAGATATGAAAATTGTACTCTATATGTATTATAAGAATTATAATGTATTCCACTACCATGTATTTAAAAAAACATAAAATCAATAAAAATTAAAAAAATAAAAGTGTACTAGCATTTTAAAAAAACCCAGTTCCCCTTACAAAAACAATATTCATTTCTATATTTTTGTGTTCACCAAAAAAGCAAGATAAAACCATCAAGATCACAATAAACTCAATAAATATTTGTTAATAACAAAAAGATTTTGCTTTTCTTGCCAGAGATAGCACAGTATAAATACACATTAATGTGTGTGTGTGTGTGTGTGTGTGTATATATATATATATATATATATATATATATACACAACTTTATATACATGTATCCAACATAACTCTCCATATATGAACATACATATATGTACATATACATATATATAAATATATATTCCAATTTAACACTACCATCCATGTTTTCATATGATCATGGCCCTGGGGGCACCACAAGTGAGAGATGAAGAATTGATTTCAGTCTACCAAACAGTACAAGTGTTTCCTCTCAGCACAATTCACAATAGCTAAACTGTGGAACCCATCTAGATGCCTTGCAATAGATGAATGGATTAAAAAAATGTGGCATATACACACAATATAATATTACTCAGCAAAAAAAGAGAATAAAATCATGGCATTTGCAGGTAAATGGATGGAGTTAGAGAAGATAATGCTTAGTGAAGTTAGCCAATGCCCCCCCCCCAAAAAAAAAAAAAACAAATGCCGAATGTTTTCTTTGATATAAGGAGGCTGAGTCATAGTGGGATAGGGAGCAGGAGTATTGGAGGAATAGAGAAACTCTAGGTAGGGCAGAGGGATTGGAGGGGAAGGGAGGGGGTATGGGGTAATTAATGATGGTGGAATGTGATGATCACACGAATTGGTGTGAATATACTATGTATACAACCAGAGATATGAAAAATTGTGCTCTATATATGTAATTAGAATTGTAATGCATTCTGCTGTCATATATAAATTTTAAAAATTTACATTAAAAAAAGAAGATCCCTGTTGAATAATGGAACCATGTTGCAGAGTAACATGCATGATATAATAACTTTTCATGTAAAAATAAATAAATTATATATATTCTAGGTGAATGTATCACTGAATGCATACCAAACAGAAAACAGCGATAACAAAGTGTTTACCTCCTACTGAGGTGGATTAATGGGTATCTTCAAACTTACAGATATTGTTATAAATTTTTTAACTCAGATAATCATGCATTATATAAATGAGAAGAAATAATTTAAAACTTAACTTCTAGAGGAACATAAAGTCTATTTCAAGGAGTGTAGTGGACATTTAGAACTTAATTTTTTCTGTCAATTATATTTTTCCATTCAATTCACCTACTTGATGCAATCTAGTGAAGCATTAACCCACTACCCTTTTCATCAGAGAGGCAAGTCCATTATACAATCTGGTATGTCAACATCTTTATCCCTCTGTCCATATTCTTTGTGTCAGAGGTTAACAAATATTTAATATAAGGTCAAACCACGCACTATTTTTTAAGTTATATCAAATTTACTTTAAGCTACTATATAAAAATAAACATTTTGCATATGGATAACTACTATGGGATCTTTCCATACATATATGGAACACTCTGCTTATGAGAGCTCTCTTTTTATTTGGCTACTACTTTTGGTTGGATTTCTACCCAGTTGCATTCAAAATAGAGAAATACAGGAAGGGCATTTCTTAAACAGATATTTTTAATAGAATAAGTCAAATGAAAGAGAAATACTATGAGAAAAGATATATTAGGACAGAGTGTTCAAAATTAAAGATGGGTACTATAAGTTATAAAGTAATCACTAAGGTAACAGAAGAAAAATTGTTTCATAAAAATATGAAAAAAGTACATCAAAGTGAACCCCAAGGTAGGATATGAACTCTGGATGATAATGATATGTCAATTTAGGTCCATTGATTGTAACAAATATACTACTATGATGCAGGATGTTGGTAATAGGGAGACTATGCACGTATGAGAGCAAGGGATATATGTAAATCTCCATACCTTCCAATCAATTCTTCTGTGAACCTAAAACTGCTGTAAAAAAGTCTTTTAAAAATTCAGTAAACAGATGGTACAAAAAGAAAAAAAATAATGATAATATATAGAATAAAGAAAAAAACAAATAGCCATAAAGTAGATTTAAACACAACTATAACAAGAATCAAATTATACATAAATGATCTGTATTAGTTTTTTTTTACTGCTGCTACAGCAAATTACTGTAAACTTGGTGAGTTAAAACAATGCAAATTTATTATCTAATAATTCAGTATTAATAAGTCAGGCACAGGTCTCATCTCACCCAACTAAAACCAAATTTAGGGCAGGATTTCCTTCTGGAGACTAAAAGAGAATGTGCTTCCTTGTTGACTGGGGTTGTTGACAGAATCCAGGCCCTTGTATATTTTAGGACTGAGATCTCTTAACCTGCTGTCCATTACCTGAGGCCTGTTGGAGCTCCTAAACTGACTATATGCCTTTGCTCATGGTCCCTTCATTCTGTGCTAAAGGCCACCAAAAGTCAGAGTCCCTCTCACACTTTTAAGTCCACCTGCCTCTTCTTCTGCCTCAAAACTCTCTTACTTCTGGGAAATTTTCCCGGATTTTAGGGCTCATATCCTCCAACGGGGCCCACATGGAGATTTCAGGATCTCCCTTTTTGAAAGTCTGTTGATAACCTGATTCCATCTGAAAACTGAACTAGCATATTTACAGGTCCAGGGATTAGGGCATGGTCATTTTTAGGAGAACATTCATGTGCCTACCACATAGTCTTAAAGACAGACCAGACTGGATGAAAAAGAAAGACCCAACTATATGGCACCTACAGGAAGTCCACTTTAAATACAAAGAAACAATCTGTTAGAAATTTAAAAAATGAAAAAGAAAAAGAAAGGAAAAAAAAAGAATTGATCAACCACCCTAACCCAAAAAGAGGGTGTCAGCAAAATGGCATTCTAGAGGACTCTACAAAGCTGTCCCTCCAGAAACAGGATTAAAAAAAAAAAATGGTAAACTTTCAGAATCAGCGGCTTTGAAATTCTGGATGACAGCCTAAAGACTGCAGCAAGCAAGCGGTTCACCAGGAGGACACTAGAGAGCCTTGAGGCCTTTCCACTTACCTTGCACCATCCCAACCCCAGCAGTGGCTTTGGAGATATGAGGCTGTGGACACAATGTGGTCACCCAGTTCCAGAGGAAGAAGAGCAGAGGGAATTCAGTCTCCATCTGTCTGGGAGTTAGTTCCCTGAAGGACAGTTGCCAGTGGCTTGGCTTTGGTTCCCTTCACCCAGAAGTTTCTCAGGGAGTCTAGAGAACGAGCCACGCAAAGGTCTTGCTCAGGAATGCTGGAAGGCAGGCTGGCGCGGGGCTTACGGGGCCTTCCAAGGGTCTCAAGCCTCCAGCCTAGCGCCCCCTGGCGGGGAAGGAGGGAAAGGCGGCCAGCCGGCAGGGGCGGCACTTAACGGCCGCCCAGGGCGCCAGCGACGGTTTTTCCGTTCAGTCGGGCACTACGCGCTGCAGAAGCCGTTGCCAGCTGGGGGACCGGCTGCTTTGCTGCCCTCCTGCGCCTCCGCCTCTCCCGCCACCTGCGGGGCGCGGCAACAGCAGGTCTCCAGGACCAAGTTCATGCCTGATCGGACCTGAACCCATGACCCTGAGGGCATCACGAAGCCCGCAGCTAGGAGTTTCCAGAGCCAACAGGGGACTAGGTGCTGTTGGTGAGTAGCTGGCTCTCTCCACAGGCATGGACGGTTTATTTCCCAAGTATTTTATTTTATTATTTTTTATTTTTATTTTGGGGTTATT